TAGTGAATTTGAGTCCAGGCCAGCCTGGACTGTACAGTGAGACCCTCTCAAAAAACCGAAAAAATAAAAGACTGGGGAAGCTGGCTGGTTGTGTAGCTCAGTGGTAGAGGACGTGCCTACCATGTTCCAGGCCCAACGTTGAAAACAAAAAAAGCCAGCAATGAAATATTAAAGAAGATATTGAATGCAGCCTTGAGGGACTTCCTGGTGAGCAACGCTCATGAATTTTATAACATCTATTTCAGCTGATTTTCTTTTCCTGCCTTTGGGACTGAGTAGTCAAAGCTACCAAATAAAAATCAAACTTTGTCCAACCAGAGGCTTGAGAGCATTGTTTTCTGGTGAGGGAGACTAACCAGTTCTAAAACAGCTTCAGGTTTTCACTGATTCCAAACAACCTTGGCACATGTAGTATCACCGTGTATTCCTTTCTACAAATGAAACCAGCTTACACCCTCTTTGTTAAAATAGTTATCGGACCCCTAGTGAGCCCTGAAAAAAAAATAAAAAAGTAAGCACTAGAGCATAGCAGGCTGGGGATTTAGCTCAGCGGCATCAGCACCTGCCTTGCAAGCAGGCAGTCATGAGTTCAATCCCTGGTACCGATAAAAAGGAAAAAGACCAAAAGAAAAAAAAAACTAGAGCATTAATCGGTCCTCATGTCTAATTTAATGTAATCTGCAGACACTAAAACAGATACTAATTAATATAAAGATTGTAGGAGCATAGATATTTTCCAGGCTGACCAGGGGAGAGAGGCTTCTAGACTGCAAGTCCAAAAATACAAGTGGGGACTATTTTTACTCCTGCAACATGAGCCAGAGGTTTAAGGACATTGTTACCTGAGCCTGGCTGGGGGAACTGCAGAACACTGCTCTCTGAGGCTCGGGACAAGCCGGCAGGGGCCTGCAGCTTTTGTTCTCCCAGAAGCAAGTGAGATCTCGTAGGTTTTTGTCCCTTCCAGCGTCGGTGCGTGGCACTTGGGAGTGAACGCAGACTGTGAGTGGGGATTTCTGTCCCCACGTGGGACAGCCATGGCCTCCTGGGTGTCGGCTGGGAGGCTGGGCTTTCTGCGGCAGATTAGAGGGGATCGTGGCTCCGTCTCCCTCGAGTGCAGCCCTGGCTTCGGCCCAGCTGCTGTAGTCCTGTCCCTGTCCCCTCTGCCCTGGCTGTGGTTCCCGTAGGCAGAGGACGTACGGGTGCTGCTGCAGCGGAAGCCTCCGGATGATTCAGTTATTAAAGCAGGAATTCTTCCTGCAGTGTTGGGCATCGCAGCCCAGGCCTGGAGCAGACCAGGCAAGAGCACTACCACTCAGCTATACACTGCAGCCATGAATATTCGACATCAGGCAGTAAAGCACAAGGGCCACGTAATGGCACCCAGCCACATCATGCCATCCACGGCTACCAATGCTTCCAACCTTGTGTCATTTTTTTTTTCCCTCTCTGCCAGAAAGAAAATATTACACATTTCAAGCCAGCCTGCTACATGTCTGTAATCCCAGCTACCTTGGGAGGCTGAGGCAAGAGGATGGCAAGTTTGAGGCCAGCCTAGGCTACTTAGCAAGGACCTGTTCAAAAAATAAAAAAGTCCGGCCTGGTGGAACACACCTGTAATCCTAATACTCTGGGCGGCTGAAGAAAGAAATTGCAAAGTTGAGCCCATCCTGGGCAATTTAGTGACTTAGCAACACCTGTCTCAAAATATGAAGTAAATGAGGGCTGGGGGATGTGGCACTGTGCAAAGGCCCTGGGATCAGTTCTCAGGACCAACAGACAAGTAAATAAAATAAGGGCTGTGGATGCAACCCAGGGGCCGAGCGCTTGTCAAGCACACACAGAGGCCTGAGTTTGACGCGCCCACTACACAAAACTAAATTAAATAATGATATTAAATTATACTACATTTAAAAAGCACTAGGAAAAAAAAAAGCACTAGGATGTAGCTCAGCACAGAGTGCTTGCCTAGAAGGCATGAAGCATGAGGTTCCCACCCCAGGACCCACCACCCTCCCACCGAATGACTGCTTCTGTCTCCTCTCTTGCTTGGGGAACTTTTATCCAGAATTGGTAACAATGACCCTCACTCAGTTTCACACCTGACTCTGCTGGGAAGTGGTGCTTCACGTAGTTTTCCTGTTATATCCCACAGCCACATGGTCTATTTCTGGACTTTCCTGGGCTCCATTTATGTACATTCTTATGTCAGTAACACAGCAGAGTTCTAATCAGTGTGGGGTTCTAGAGATTCTCACTAACTTATGGGCACGTTCATTTAACTATTTAATAGGTTTATCACTATTTGTATGGAATTTTAAAAAAGTAATACATTCCGATGAGAACCACCACACCTGGCCAGCGTTTTTATATGCTGCCTTTAATCCAGCAGCCTTACTTGCAGTAGGATGGTGGCCTCGCAGTGTTGCAGTGTTAATAGACCTTCTTTGTCACTGCTGCCTTGCCTTAAAGGAGAGCCCTCAACTTTCCAGTAATCTGTGTATGACTTTGAAGAGATTCTTTTGTACAAAATCTGAAAATAAAGCCTCCACTGTCGTTTCCTAAGGAGAGCTGCCAATCCCCACCCTGTGCCCATCACTGCCTTTCAGTTTGCTTAGTTTTTAATCTTTTTTTAAAATTTTTATTATTTATTTATCATCGGTACCAGGGATCAAACTCACGACCGCCTGCTTACAAGGTAGGTGCTTATGCTGCTGAGCTAAATCTCCAGCCCCTTTAGTTTTTAATCTTTAAAATCTCTTTTTTTTTTTTTTGTCTTTTTCGGTACGAGGGATCGAACTCACGACCGCACACTTGCAAGGAAGGCGCTTATGCCGCTAAGCTAAATCCCCAGCCACTAAAAATCTCTTTTTGAGATAGAGTCTTACTATGCAGCCCAGGCTGGCCTCCTACTCAGTGACCCTCCTGCCTCAGCCTCTGGAGTGCTGGGATTAGAGGCGTGTACCACCCTACCTGGCATTAGCTTCTGTTTGGACTGAGCTTCCTGGAGCACTCACAATGGTAACTACCCTCTGATTCTCCACAGTGCTTGTCTCAGTGGAGCGGAGGGCTCAAGTGTGAGTCTCAAAACAGTGGCATCTGTCAGTGAATCTGAGCTTCTGCTCTTTAACCCACTGTGGCTTCCGTTTTGTCCTGGTGCATGGGAAGCTAAGACCTAAGTTTTGTGCTCAGAAGTAACACATTCCCCTGGCTGTTTGAAATAGTATTTTTCTATGTTTATGCATCTCCACTGGTTCGGATAGTCTTTTCTTCATAGTTACTATTTGCTTAATTCATTAATTTTTTTTTGAGACCATGTCTTGCTATGAAGCCCAGGCTGGTCTTCAATTTGAGATCTTCCCAACTCAGCCTCCTGAGTACTGGTATTACAAGTGTGCACCACCATGGACAGCCAATTACTTGCTTTTTAAAAAAATCATTAAGTGATACATAAAAGGTGGTGGGGTGTGGTTGTACATGACAGTCATCTGAACATTTTGAGAGGCTGAGGCACAACTGCAAACTTGAGCCCAACCTGGGCTATTTGATGATTTGGGCTACTTTACTTATTGAAGGAGTACCATGTTATGTTTGGATACATTGTGTAATGTTTCAAAGATTTATCATTATTATTATCAGTAGCACCCCAATAGCACCCCAGAACTTCTCGTTCCTATCTCAGTGCCCCTGATCAACTTTTTCCTATCCTGACTTTTTTTGGTAATGCTGGGGAGGGAAAGGCCTGCCACTTGGTAAAGCGCACTACCTCCAGCCCAGCCCAACTTTAAAAAAATAAGTAAATTTCATTCCTATTTTTGGGAAATGATTGCTTTGATGTAAGCTATGTCAATTCCTTTTGTGGGTTGGCAGAATATAAATTCCTACTAGAATTCAAAATGGCCAATAAATATTGACTGACTGGAGAATCTGAGGACCTTAGCGGTGGTGGTTGATTTTCCAGAACCGTTAGTGAGAAAATTTAATTTCAGTGTGGAAATGCTTGTAAGTCAGGCCTGTTGTGTATTGCATTGGGGGAGGGAATCTGATTTTACTTTCCATTTTTGCTAGTAAACCCCCAAACATTTCACAACCTGATAAAGCAGGGGTGCTTGGCACGCGCCTGACAGTTGAGTCTCTTTTCACTGAATGTTGCTCGACGAAGTTAAGCGCTCGAGCAAGCTGCGGAGAACAGCGGCAGCTCTCTCCCTGCAGCCGCCTGGGGCTCTGACCCCCCCGCGCTCTCGGCCCCCGACTGGCGGGAGCGCCCCCTCCGGGGCACCTGGGCGTGCGGGGCGCTCGGTGCCCCCGCGTGGGGACACAAAGCGCTTGGCCCCTCTCCTCCCAGCCCGCGCGCGCCCACGGAGTCATGCGTTTCCATTACTCATTCCGCCTTTTTTCCCAAGGTGGCGTGTGGGAGGTGGTGCGCGCGGGGCCGGTAAGAATAGGCCGGGAAGCTCGGCCCCGCGCCCGGTTGCGTTCCGATCGCGCCGCGCCCCGGGACACGTTTTCCAAACCCACGACGACTCCACGCGCGGCCGCTCCCCTACGACTCTCGGCTTCCCCATCTGCGTCCGGTCCGTCCAGTCCAGTCCCGCCCCGCCCCACCCAGCCAACCTTTTGTCCCCTCGCAGCGCAGATGGTCGCGCTGCCCAGGCGCGGCCGCCGCTCACGACGCCCTCGAGGGGTCAACCGGGAGGGAACGCTGGCCCCGCCTTCGCCCACCCCGCACCCCTGCAGCGGGGCGGGCCTGTCGGCCACTAGAGGGCGCTCGGGTGTCTCCGCAGCACTCCCGCCCCTCCCTGGCTCCCCTGTGATTGGCCGGTAATCTCTAGATTTGCATTCTGACTGGTCTCTTCCTGCGTCAGTCAGCGCCGCTGGGCGGGAAGAGGTGACGCGCAGCGCCCTGGCTCGGGGCGGTGCCCGTCGCCGGCGGCTGCGGGCGGAGTTTCTCTGGCAGCGACGCTGGGCAGTCAGACGGCCGCGGTCTCGGGAGGCGTCCGTGGGGCTCCAGCCGCTGTCAGTTCGCTGCCGTCGCCGCTCTTGATGCCTGGCCGGGTCGCTGCGTGATGGCGCGGCTTAGCTGCGCTGTGCGGCTGGCGGCGGCCGCGTCTGGCGCTGAGGTGCGTCGGTGCCCGGCTCCCCGCACCCCCGCGCGCCGCCCCTCCTGCTGACCGCGCGCCCGACCGCCCGCCCGCCCGCCCGGGGTCCGCAGCGCGGCTGAGGTGAGCGGCGGGGCGGGCGGCGGTTGCTGTTGCGGCCTCCGGGGAAGCTCCGGGGGGTGAGGAGCCGCGGGCCGGGCCGGGCGGGGGCGCGGGGCGGCGGCGGGGAGCTCGCCTCGGGGTGGGGTGGGGGCGGGGAGCGGACCCCGGCTGGCGGCGACCCGGCCCGGCGGCCTGCTGCGGCTCGCAGTACCCGCCCGGACGCGGTGCTCTGAGCCGCGGGCCAGACCGTGCGTGGGGACCCGCGGTGCTGCCGGCTGGGGCTCGGGCTCGGCGCGCCCCGCAGCTCCGGTCGGCGCCGCTGCGCCCCCAGCGCCCTCCCCTGTGCCCAGATGGTGTCGGCTGGGAAGACGATGCCGTCCCGGTGCCGATGGAAGCAGCAAAGGGCGTCTTCGCGCGCCTGGGGTAAGGGGATCGAGGAGGGCGCAAGGCCTGGCCGAGAGGGCGCGCCGGCCGGGACGGGGCGGGGGTCGCTGGCCGCCGGCCAGGCAGGGGCGGAGGAGCCGGTGTGGCCCACGCGAGCTGCCCGGGATCCCCGGCAGCCATATTGGGAGGATGAGCTGACAAATCCTCTGGGAGCCAAGTCCGGTTGCTGGAAGGCACCGAGTGACAGCCCCTGGCAGCTCTCGGGGTGACGGGCCGCGCCAGAAGCCGAGCGGTGGGGGTGGGGAGGCCGCCCGAGCCAGCCAGTCATTGTTCACGCCACACAAAACATCCCCGAGCCGCAGGACCGGCCCCGAGCTCCCGATCACTTTCTCCTCGGGTAGCATTCCCAAGCGAGCCGCCCCATCGAGGCTGCATTCAGGTCGGGGCGGAATCCTGTGGTCATTGTTCCCGACCCCTCCTTGCGGGTCCAGGGCGGTGGGGAGGCCTGTCGGTGCCTTCTTTGCGCATAGGCAGTCTGAGATTGCTGCGAGGCCCCTTGGGCTGGATGGAGGCCTCGGGTTATCGCGCCTTGTCTCGCCTGAGATGGACAGCTTTGCAGAGTAGCTCGGGCGTGCAGAGATTAAGTGAACTGAAAGGTTCTGTTGGTGGAGGGAGGCCCGCAACAGAATTTCCGAGGACGCAGATTGTCATCTTTATGGAATCTGGAGGTAGCTGAAATTAGACTGTCGACAGATCCCTTACTCATAAATCTCTTGCTGCCCTGGGCAGCTGCTGTGCCAACACAGAACATGCTGCTTTGTGTCACCGTGTGTCTGAGCTCGGTGGAAGTGTGCTGATGAGGTTTGAGTAACTTAAAAGGTGATATCATGGTGGAGGCTTTATTTAAAGGCTGGCATTTGTCGTTTGGCTTAGTCATAATGAAACGTTAGTGCATGTTCTCCTCTAAGAAATGAGGCGGTGTTTTCTCATTTTGCTGGTATTGTGGTTGGATTATAAAGTGAGGGTGTCAGAGTTTGAGGAAGGAATGTGAGGTCTGCACCGAGGCTGGTGTGGTGTAGCAGAACTGGCAAGAATCAAACAACTGGTTTCAGGGTGAGCCTGTAAATCTGTCTTTTCTTGCATCCTGGGTGTGGATGGTCCCGGAGGGAAGCTGTCCTCTTTGGGTTCATTTTCTTTAATTCTGACTCCATTTCCCCTCCCTGCTTTGTGGTGCTGGGGATGGAACCCACTAAGCCAGTGTTCTCTCGATAAGCTTCTCCATTCCCAGCCCGTGATGCCCATTACTTAGTGAAGTCTAACAACTTCTTAAGGTGAACTAGTTAAAATTTTTTCTGTATGCGTTTTAGGTCTTAACACTATATTGTGTAATCTTTATCATTATTCCCTTTAAAGCCTGCTTGAATCAGATACAGCTTCAACAAGAACTAGTGTGTTTTGGTATACATTAATGAGAGAATTACAGAATGTCTTTTATAATTCCATGCCCCAAATAAATATTTCTAAGTTTTTAATATTTGGAGTTACTTTACTTGCAGAAGATCTGAGGAACTATGGCTAAATAGTTTGATTATTTGGTAAAATCTAGACGGATCATGATGAATTTGATGTAGAGGTTAGAGGTTGATGAGCCTAAGCAGCTGTGTGCTGATGAATGTTTCTCCAGAATTTACCCGGTTATGTTCAGCTTCTGATGTTAGGACATTGTTTTCCTTTATGAGATCAGATATGAACCTAGTTTTCTTTTTTTTTTTTTCTTTCTCCAAGTAGTTTTTTCGTTTTCAAGAACAGATATGAATGTGGTTTTCCATGGTTTTCCTTTTTTCTCCTGCCTCTCCCACTTGGAAGTTGGGCAGGGAATTTGTACGGGAGAAGAGTCTGCTGGCCATGCCGTTCCCAGAGCCACTGTTTTCTAGCCCCTTTTTCTGCCCTGGTCTTGTCTTCTGTACAGAGTCAAGGACAATAATGGGCCCCTGCTGGCTTTGTAAACCTGTTCCCAGGGCTGCTTATCGCAGCAGGTCTTTCTGAGGAGTGAGAGCCTATCTCTTTCCCAGGAGTGAGAGCCTATCCACTGTGGTCTTGAAAACAGGTGAAAATTGACAGCTTCTGATGTGTCCCGCCTACTCTTCCGCAGTTCTCTTTAAAGAGGTCCTTGTTTGAACAGATAGTGGTGAGCATAAAAGAAAATAAATAGATGTGATACTTGTAGAACTTTTCAGAGTGCATGCTGAAAGATAAACAGGTGTGACTGAAAAGACAGCCGCACTGTGCTATCTTGGACTTCCCTGGGAGTTGGGCTTTTTTGGTCAGCAGCCCAGTGACTAATTTTTGCTTACTTTTGTTATAGTTATTGCCAGTTGGCTGAGATTGCAAATGGATATTTATTTATTTATGAACCAAGGGTTGAACTCACAACTGTGAGCTTGCCAGGCAGGTGCTTGTGCCGATGAGCTAAATCCCCAGCCCACAAATGGATATTTAGTTCTTTGCCCTCAAGGACCTTGAACTTCCGTGGTGTGAGTACAGCGGGGCAAGGCCAACTCACTTCTGTCATGCCATGATAGTTTCCCTGATTTCCCGGTACAACTTTATTGTCTTTGTAATATAGCACTTCCTACTATCTAGTACTCAGCTGATACATTTATATTGTCTTGCAGGTATATGTATATATGCATTTCAAGACTGTGTCTGATGGATTTAATTTTTTTTTATATTTAACATCATGTTGTTTACACCAAAGCACATCATTCAACTGTGTGTCTTCCACCAGTGCCATTGAATCTTTGCTTAGTTTTCCCTTTCATTCAATTTACTTATTTACATAGGCAGTGCTAGGGATCAAACCGTGGGCTTGCACCTGCTATGCAAGTGCTCTACCACTGAGCCGTACCCCAGCCCCCATCTAAAGTTTTGAATCAGTTTGGCAGACGTTGTTGTGTAAGTAAGCAACAACAGTAATGATACCCTGAATGGCTGACTCATCCCGAGTACTTCATACAGGTCAGGCTCTTCTCTGAGCACTTTGTATTTATTAACTCATTTAATCTGTGGACAGTCATGTAAAGCAACTCCTCCCCATTTTTTTCAGGTGAAGAAACTGAATCAGAAGCTGAGGGCGTGCCCTAAGATTGATGGCGCTAGTTAAACACTGCTGGGCTTGCTGTGTGAGGGTTCTGCTCAGCCTGGTCCTCATGAGGAACTTTTTTTTTTTTTGTCTTTTTCCTTTTTATCGGTACCGGGGATCGAACTCACGACTGCCTGCTTGCAAGGCAGGCGCTTATGCCGCTGAGCTAAATCCCCAGCCTCTTGTTTTTTTTTAAAGTAACTTGGTATTGTGGCCACATCTTCTACCATGTCATTACTCTTCTGATTGGATTCACCTTCTGATCTTAAATGCCGAAAATTTACAGCTTATTCGCCTTGTCTGTGTTTTTCTGCTCAAGCCTCCCAGGGCTTGTCACTTCCAGATTTTACTTTGGTTCCTATTTTCCTACACTGTAACCTCTGGCACATGTTGCTTCAGCTGTTTACTTTCTTTCTTTCCTTATTTTTGGACAGGGTCTTGCTGTGTAGTCCAGGACTCCTGCCCTGCCTCCCGAGTGCTGGGATTGCAGGTGCGCCCCCACCCCCGTACCCAGCAGTACTTCAGCTGTTTTCTCACCAGCACTTGGCGTTTTTGTTCCTCCTCGTTGGGCAGGACCCACTGTGCAGATGACAGCTGACATCATGCCTGCTGTCCCAGCCCTCTGTCCCAGCCCTGTGTGGTGGAGAAACCATGCAGTACTGGAGATCGTTGGTGCCAGCCTCAGCTGGAATCTCCAGGCCTTGCTGGAGCGTGTCTTTGTGGTCTGTGAAGCAGTTCCCTCCCTGGGTCTCTGTACCATCTTAGCCACTTCCCATGCTGGGCAGAAAACCTTGCTCACCACCTCGAAGGAAAAAGAGCGTGCACTCCCCTCGCTTCCCCTGCTGCATACCGATTTCCCATCTCCCGACTGCACTGCTCCTTGGCCCGCTCTGGATGTGAGCACCTCTGGCCTGCAGGAACCTGCTGTGCCGCCACCCTGGGTCCCCTCACGTTTTCCTCTCTTCCCTCAGCTCGCCAGGCACAGTTCTGCCATGGGACCCCTGCACCAACTGCTGCCTGTGGTGTGCTGGGTGGCTTCTTTGCCTCTTTCCTGTCTGCTCCAGCCCCTCCGCCCCAGCAGGCGACCCTCAATGCTTTAGGCACCTGCACTGGCCTGTCCCCATAATGCTTATTACTTTATGGATAGGTTGTTCCTTATATTGTTGCTATTATTTTGGTATCGGGGATCAAACGCATGACTTCATGTTTGCCAGGCAGGTGCTGATGCTGCTGACCTAAATCCCAGCCCTAGTGAAATATTTTAACCCCTCCCACAGTAGGATGTGATTTGCTCCATGATGAGGATGTTTAGCTTTTTGTTCATTGATTTATTCCAGAGATGCCCTATCACACTGTAGGTACTCGATGTATTACCCTTGAGTAAAGTGTAGAGAACTACAAGTCTTTTCTATGAAAAAGAAAATTACAGGCGCAGAACCCCATCCCCTACCTCCGTGGTACTGAAGCTTGACCTCAGGGCCTGCACTCGCTAGGC